AGAGCAGCAGCTTGGACGTTGTAGCGGTTGATCGCATCACGGATAGCTTCTGATCATTGCTGTAGTGCTTGCCAATTTGTTGACGTAGTTATAGCCTAAATAAGAACATTAGCTCACCAATTGTGATTTGGGATGAGTACATACCTGTGCCAGAAAATGAAAGCTTCGAAAGCTCAAATAGCCTCATGATGACCAGGTGCTCCAGGTCATCAAGGGCACTGTGATACTTGCTGAGGGACACCTCCTCCTTGAAATGGTTGTACTCCCGGCCGCTGATCTCCCATCGCGCATCAACAGCTAAGTGTGTTTCGATGTGCGCCACTAGCACCTCTGCATGCTGTAATTTAGCATAAGACGAATCCACCCGAATGTGAGCCTGTGCGAGTACGTTGTTCATCTGGTCCAAGCTACCAGCTGCAATTCCAACAAGCAATTATTAGCAGCTTCGCGTGCTGAGTCCCAATCTGCCCTAATTATTTAGGGTCAGAGCCGCACACAGATGAACTAGTTTAAATTAACACCTTCGTTCAGCAAGTTTGTCGAGTACCTCGATGTACTGTACAGAGAGACGATCTGTTTCAGGCGGCTGTTTCAAACCGTCGAGATAGTCATGTTCTTCCTGGAGGAAACAAGAGAAGTCAGCATCAGTAAGACCAAGTGTAGATTGGATGACGGCTAGTTCGGCTGCGAGAACACTGATCTGTTTGGTTGCTTCTCAATAATGGTTCCACAAAAAATTAGCTGATGACATACGAAATAATAAGTTTCATAATTGACGTGCGTGGAGAAATTACTCACAAAGCACAGCATACTTGTCAGTGTCCCAAAAAGCAAAGTGTTCCTCGATCGCCTGATGCCAGTGGAATGGGCTTGCATGTCGAGTGCTACGAGCTAGCTCATTTGAGGTGGAAAATATATGCTCGCACCCTTCGCCCTCGCTATGTCCAGTGCCCGGAATATACATGGGATGCCACATCAGCTGACATTTGCGATTATGTGCGTGCCCATGGAATGTGCCTACCATCATCCGAAAGTTTAATTCTGCTGCTCATGGCCCCAAGGTGCTATTACTAAGGGTTTTGGAAAATGCGCATCCGATGTCATAAGCGCAAGCTCCATTTTTGCCATATACCATAAGGAGCTTATCGACGAGGGCAAGTGGGTATTTTGCCCTGTCAAATCAAATCAGTGCAGAACAAAATTAATTGAGGGCAAATCAACAAACAATTCCCCACTTTGGATCATGTCACAGGCCAGGAGTATGAAACGATGACGGCAAGCAGCAATAAAAATGCCTGATTCGTTGAAGACTGAAAACATTTTCTTGTGCGTATTGAGCCCAGCATTTCTCCAGCGACCAATGCAAGTAAGTGAGCGGTTAGCATCAACAGGTTCATCTTCCCAGTCATCAGGGTTTGAGGGCTTCTGCAAGAAGTCAGCAGGCAATGATGATGTCAATATTGCAACAACTTACTTCTTGAGCTTTAACCTCAGCCTTGAACCAGTCTACAACCAATGGAGCAATCCAGTAGTCGGAGTGTGCCTTGCAAGAATCGGTGTGGGCGGTGGTGCCATATATAGTAGAATCCCAGCGTTTCAAACTATTATTGCTGTCAATTGAGATAAGCCAATCAAATTCCAATGCAAGCTCGTCCTGGAGCTTATAGCAGCACACTGGACAGGAATTGAGTAAGCACCAATCAGGCGTGTCGTGTTTCAGGGCTGCCTTGAGTTGTTTGTCAACAGAATGGATGATTTCAAGGTATATATCATAGGCGGCTGAAAATTGCATGCACAAGTACGGTCGATAAGGAATCTATTCAATGGCCATGAGTTAAATCACTAAAGCAACCATGCACTTACATCGTGAAGAAAACATAACGATTTGCATTGAGCTTGGATGCTGAAACGAGGACATGTTCGATGAATTTGGCGGTAGGCGGCAAGAGTGCGTAATGATATTGCGACCGTGGGATACATTGGAGAGCACCCAATGTAGCCATGATAAATGAGCGTCTCATTAGGGTATTTGTGAGAAGGCAACGATTGAAGTGATGAACGGCTTCACTCTGAAAATAAATTAATATTGATAGAACGGCAGACAAAATCTATCATACACACCTAATAGATCAACAAGCTCAATGTTACTCAGCAAAACACACTGAGTATCATTTGATGATGGCTCCGTGGGTGGCTCATCAAAGGTTGGCACACCGTTCTTGGAAGAGCGAGAGCGATAGTCGAGATAAGCATCCACAAGGAGATCTAGTTGAAGACCCCAGTGGCCCATTTGGTTTTCTGTCCGGTCATGGCATGCCCAGTGATCTATGTAGCAACTATTATTCGGGGTGAGATGAAGCAAGGTCATATAGGCAAAAAACACGTACCAGCCACTGATCTCAGCTATTTGGCTTGCAAGACCCTCAAAAGCTTCATATTCCCTGCCTGCATGACTGAACTCAAAGCCTTCCTCTCCTGGGGGTGCTGTGTGCGGGAGTGTCTCAACATCCATCCCATAGTCTACTATCATATCCTCCACCATATTGCGATCCTCCATTGACATACCTAACAAGTTGTTAACACTACCTTTGAAAGAAGAAAAACCACTACTGACCTTGAACTTCCGCCTGACGCATAGTATCTGCATCATCCACGTGTTGTAACTGCTTACTAGCCATGAGAATACAAGTTTGGCAATGGCGTCCTCTAAAATTGTGTGATATGACTGATTTTGATAGGCCTGTGAGCCTAAAAGAACCTGCGCTGCGGGACATGGTGTACTGGTGCAGTTCTGACGCAGTGACAAAGGGAGGAGAGGCCAGATACTAGGGCTAGACACAGGGAGGGCGCAGATGCCAAGTTTGGCGCAGTTGAGCGCAGTTGAAGGGAGCAGATTGTGCTGCGCAGTGTTGGCAGCCAGAAAGACGTCTTCCTCGTCTGAAATGAGGGCATGAGCAGCCAGTAGTAGGCCCTAATAGCTCAAGGGAGGCAGCGCTGTATGATGGTGAGGAGCAAGGCACATGGGAAGCTGCCACCGCTAACACAGGTCCTAATCGGGAAGGGCCTGCAGCGGAAACTGCCGGAATGATGTTTAGGCGGGAATGGCGGGAATGGCACTATAGAGGGCGCTGGCTATCCCAATTAGTAAGCCTAATTATGCCTGGTGTACACGTACCTTGCCAACTATATTTAGCTGTGGTAATACAGTAGTACTGGAGGTCACAAATGATTTAGGGCAATATTTATTGCTGGTGTTGGGATTTAACTACAAACAAGCCTAATTATAGTTGGCAAGGTACGTGTACACCAGGCATAATTAGGCTTACTAATTGGGATAGCCAGGTGCGCTGTTGATGTGACAGCGGCAACAGAGAGCGACAGAGGCATATATACAGCGTCTGAATGTAATCAGTGTACTACTATATTCCAATACTACTATTTCTCCGTCATTTGTGCTCCCATTACTGGAATCTTGATGGTAGGCAGCAATTTCAGAATGACACATTTGATAGATGGTCGAGAGAGAGAGTTGCCCAGTGAGCACCTGCTTCAGCAGACAAGGTGAGATGACTGAGATGACTGCAGAGCTGCTGTGTGAATTGATTTCCATTGAGGTGGTAAACGAGTTGCTATGCAGGTGCATGAGTGTGGAGCTCAAATGTCTTGAGAGTGTGCAAGAACAGTGGTAGGCTGGTGTCATCTGAGTTCAAGGGATTCGAGTTGTCATCATTGTCAGATGCATCAAGTTTCTTTCAGAAACAATGACACATTCAGAACGTGTAATGTGAAAATATAGTCACTTTCAATGTCAGAGTCGAGTGCACGATAAACACAAAGTGAGAGATGGGATAATTCAGCAGGATTTGATGGAGGGCACAGATCCATGCCAATTTTTTCCCTTCTTGTAAAGGTCAAGCACCTCACCGATGGACATACGCTTCTCATTGCGAATAATAACAAATGAGTCACGACGCAGGGGATGCATGAGAAGTTAGGCGTTTGAGAGGGCATATTTGAGTCGGCACAATTCGGAAAAGGTTCACCATGTATCCTATAAACCTGCCCTGAAGGCCATAGAAAATGCAATGAAAAATTGGTCATGGCAAGGGGCAACCGTTCTACCCCTTGCCATGACGAAGCTGCCCCTTGAACTTGGGTATGTGTAGCGCAAGTGTAGCGGACTTCGAATCGGCATTGTTGGCAACCTGTGACACAGTGTGACGAATGCGCGAACACTAGGTGAGATTGACTAGAGGTGCTCGCTCATGCTGTAGCAACACAACAGATCAATTTTTTAGTATAAAAAAATCTGGGCCATGTTATTGAGATGGTATTATATCTACTAATGACTATCCGATATTTATTTTATGTTGTGGATCGAGAGCAATACGCGAGACCGTAAATAAGCGCGAACACTCGGGTACATCTAGTATAAAGTCAGTGACGCGATCTAAGATGTTGGGCTGGTCCGAGCATTAGCTTGGGGTGAGACGCAAGCAGGTGGAGCCGCTGGGAGGGCGGGAAACCTGCTTACGAATTCGATCGCGCGCTGACTCTCTATTTTGACAATGAACTATAAATTTGCGAAAATACGTAAGGGAGGGGTGGGTGGGTGCAACGAAACGTTGATATAATGAGTGAGGGGTATGTGAGGTAGCCCGAATGTGATGTCGGTGGTAGGTCGAAAAAACGAATGAAGGAAAAACGGCAGCAACGCTCGGCTGGAATGTGGTGCCGGGAAACTCCGGTGAGCTATGTTTCCCGGCACCTTACAAGAATGCGTTGGTGTCAGCTATTGAGTTGCTGTAGCCGATCGTGAGTGATTCGCCAGGGTAGGGAATGATAATGAAATCGATATCATCGGGATGGGATTTAACATGTTAGCTGGTTAAAATATAAATGTTTATAGGGGGGAAGTGTGGATACAATAGGGGAGGAAATTGTGATTGACAATGTGGAACTCGATGAATATTCATTTGTCGCAACAAACCAAGGCAAATCTAGCCCAGGATATCCTCCAGGTAAGAATAGTCCGGATCCTCTTCATAACTGTCAACCAGAGTCAGCCGCGAATAGAGTCAAACAAAAGCTGTAAATACCCTAGGTCCTCAGCATGTTCTAGAAACAATCCGAGTGGAGCAGGGGTGATCTCCGACCACCGAAGTTCTCGTTTCATTGCCTCGCACTCTGCTGGGGAGAGTCCACACCACGGGAGCGATCCTTTAGCTAAGTGAATCAGCGTATACGTCAAGGATATTATGTCGTCTCGGCGACTATAACCTGATCAAATATGTTTGCTGGTCTGCAAGGTATCGTGATATACAGGTAAACTCACGTGTATGGCAGTGGACGTGGATGCTCATATACGGCAACGTGCCTTCGGCGCACTCTCCAGATTCCGGTTTATGTTTTCCGGTCTCGTCGCGGTAGCGCTTAGCATGACCAAAATCCACCAAGTGAGGTTGCAACTCCCCATTAATCGGGAGTACGATGTTTCCAGGCTTGATATCGCGGTGAACGACACCTCGGTCATGGATTTGATGAAGAATTTTTACCTATTCCAGTCAGCTAAACGATTGTCAAGACGATACACACACTTACAAGAGCTTTTCCCAACACATATACCTCACTGATAGGAAGAGAACCCCCACAGGATTTCATATATTTGAGAAGGTTCTGGCCAAGACGATCCAAGACGATCATCCCATGGTCTCGAATAGTGTACAGACAATGAAATCGCGGGATACCGGAGACACCTTTAAGGGCTTTGTACGCTGCAACCTCGTTGTAAGAGCGCAATACACCGCACTCGACTTTAATTACCACATCTTCCTTTGTGTGAATCTTCCGTGCAAAAATGACACAACCTGAAATGGAGGTAAATAGATATAGTACATATAATGAGACGAAGGTACCAAAAGAGCCCTTGTCGCAGAGAGTTTCAGTCCAAAACTGGCCGTTAAAAGGTTTTGCAGATCCGAAGAGGGCGGTTAAGTGAGAACACATTGTAGGGCACGAAAACTTGAGACCAAGGAGTAGTCAAATTTCTATATACACGGAGTTCAAAGTTCAAACAGTCAAGCTCAAAAAGTCCGACAGAAAGTTCGGGGATCACGTGCGGCCGAATTGAACCCAGCCAAGCAACAAGCAGGGGTACCGCGTGAGACCGTGTGAGATTGCAGTCCAAAATTCGAAGATTCGAAGATGATGAAACCAGGTTTGCCCAGATCGCCATCTAGCTACGCTGACATCCCCTTCCTTTCAGCCAGAAAGTGCCAACAAGAGGGAAACACCATCGTGCCATACCCATCGTCAAACATGTCGCATTCCGAGTCGACGGAATCTGACCTTGACGACTTGTCGAGCTTTCTACAGGAGACCGAATCATCTCAAGATGTAGTTCGCCATGGCGTTTGAATCCGCGCTCGAACCATTCGCTGACGCATGTATACTCATCCAGATCTCGCACTGGCAGGCTCAGGATGCTTCAGAACACTCGCCAAACGAGGAAGAATTTCGTGCGACTTCTCCGGTATCTGAGCTGACCATGGAGGAAATCCAGGCTGAATGGAAGCCAGTGTTCAGAAAGCGTGCCCGAGACTGGTGAGAATTGACAACTCCAGCGATTGGATGTAAGCACTCGACTTCGACTTTCGACCTCTGGCCGTCATGCTTGGACTGCGACCTGGAATCCCTACGATTAGATGCTCTGGACTCCTGTATCATTTGCTACACAGTATTTGATGCTTGCAGATCTCGTCGTGCCTCTGGTCGGGCCACGCCCGCTATAAGACACCCGTCGAAGGGAGAAACCAATTCCTGCTTGACGTCTACTCTCTCAAGTCGCGCATATAGTCGCGACTCACCGTTTAAAATCCAAAATCCCGTTTCACCCGGGTCGCCGTCTCTTTCAATGTCCCCGCGGATGGTGCCACGTCGACCAGTCCTCTTCCCCGGCAGGGAGCCAGCACTAAAGCTAAAATCATCGACGCCCATCGAGATGGAACGAACGAACGTGCTCGTCGACTGACCGTTCGAATCCTGTCACTCATACGTTAATGCCGTTGGAGACGAAGATCCGGAAGCTCGATCCTTAGCTGCCACAGAGCTCGTATCCGCATGTGCATGGTTTCTGTGATATTAACCAGCGGTTTTCCCAGTGTCATGTCGATCCGATTACAGTGTTTATGATACTGAATAGAAAGTGCGCCGACTTGTTGCGCTGCCCAGTCACGATTGCGATGAGTCACTGCAGAACGACTATCTTCCTTCGGGAGCCTAGGCTCGACCTCATTTCAGTGTCTCGTCCGTTCAGTATTTTCGACGCTAGAAAACGACAGTTCCAGCCCTTCAAATACTGAATTTTGTGCTTCCCAGTCGCGACGTCCACTGCGGCCCCGAGATAATACGAAAGACTTTAAAAAAGTCAGTGTTCTGAATGTTGACTCGCGAGGTATCCGTTGCTTGCTTTGATCAATCAGTGCCTTCTCCTGTCTGATTTCAGATCAGTATTTTTGACACTGAAAAGGACACTGAAAAGACACTGAAAATACTGCTCTGAGTATGCAATGATACAGTGGAATCAGACTGAGCTCGTAGATGAAGATTGCTGACACTGCGAAAGACTAACAGTTGTCTCAAATGCTGCTTGACTCAGGAGGTATTAATTGCTTGCTTTGATCAATCAGTGCCTTCCCCCATCTGATCTCGGATCAGTGTTTTCGACACTGAACATTTTTACTTGAATATGTGATGATGTGGTGAACTGAGCTAGTAGAAGAACACTGTCGACTCTGCGAAAAACTAAAAGTCAGTGTTCTGAACTGTTGTCTCAAATGCTGCTTGACTCATGAGGTGTCCATTGCTTGCTTTGATCGATCAGTGCCTTCTCCCATCCAATCTCGGATCAGTATTTTCAACACCTAAAAGACACTGAAAATTTTCCTCTGAATACGCAATGATACAGCATCAGTAAAACACCTGGTTCCTTACCTTACTTATTCTTGTCTTTCTTTCGTCGAGACGAGTATAGGACTTCTTGCTTCTTGCTTTTTGTCCTTTTTCCTTACTACTGAAAGCACATTAAGGGAAACAGGAGTGAAATCAAATTAAGCATAATAAGTACATTGTATTGAAAATTGAGAGTTTAGGACACGATTTCAAATGTGCGGTGATCAGCATATTTGTTAACATAAAATTTTCGGAAGGAATCATAGGTTTGGTAGTGCCAGAGGTTGAGGGAAATGAATTGGCTACCATAGACGGGAATAAGGTGAGAGGCGTGGTAGATTGAGTCAACATGAATGATAGATATGTTGGGGGCATGATTGGCATGGTGAGCAGGCTGCACCACCCACATCCCTGTATCTTCATCAGGTGAATCTCCGAGGGTGTCAAACCATCGCACAACTGCACTTGGATATGTCTCAGTCCTGTAAGTAAAAGAGAAAAAGGTCAGTACTCGAGCAACATCCATACCCCTCATTTCGTCAAGGTCCGGATTCACGTTAACAAAGATACAGTCATAACATGGGTGCTCCTTTCTCCATGCTGGACATGCATGAATGTGCTCGTGGCACATACCACCAATGCCGCTGTGATCACTGGGGGAAAAAAACCTTGAGCATGCTGAATTAAAAATATTGATTTTGTCGTATTGGGGACAGGTCGCAAGAGGAACTTCTGAAGGATCGCGTTGGTCATTTGGATTGAGCTGGGCAAAAAGGAAGCAGGACATCATATGTGGGAGTTGGGGAATCAACGACTGTGCGTGCATGGTTGTGTTCTGATACAGTATGATATTAGCTAGTGAGAATAAACAATGATGATAATGAAAGAACATACAGGCTGTCTTCACCAATTCCACATGTGCTTGGATGACAGTCAGGCCAGTGTCAACTTCGACATCCCCGACATCCCAGTCTTCCCACACACCCACCTCACACTCAGCATTAGGTGGCAAAAGATTTCCAGGCTGGTCATTTGCAATTTGGATTTCTTCTGTTGTAGGGTTAGTTGCAGCACATCAAATGTAACACTTTTAGACTTACGTAGTGCATTGATAGCTGCTGCAAGACATGTCCCGCTGAGCATGCCACAATTTGTAAAGTCAGCCCGTTGTAGAGACTCATGCATCTCTGGGCTTAGAAACTCGACTTCTCTCACCTTCCTAATAACATCCAGCTCTTATCCCAGGATTAGTCTTGCGCATGTGCGCCCCTTTTGCTTTGCAGGTATCTAGCGCGCGTAATCCATGAACAGCTTGGTCTTTCTTACAAAAACTCAAGGGAATTGAATAAGATAATTGACAAGCAGCTTCCCAGTCACCCAAAGTTCAGGTGTGAACAAATCGTCATTGCAGGTGAGGCATTCGACATTTTCTATAGGGATGTCATCAAGTGTGTCAAGGCCTTGTATGGTGATCCAGATTTTGCCAATTTTTCAGTCTTTGCACTGGAACACCACTATGCAGACAAGGAACAAACTGTCCGGTTATACTATGATATGCATACTGGTAAATGGTGGTGGGATACTCAGGTAAGTTTATATTTTGAAGATTTCTGCTCATTGAAACTAACTGATGTGTTAAATAGAAAAAACTTGATCAGCACAAACTGGGTGCAACTATCATTCTGATTATTATTTCAAGTGATAAGACTCAAGTAACAATGTTCCACAACAAAACAGCTTACCCAGTCTACCTTACCATTGGCAATATTCCAAAGGATATTTGCTGAAAGCCATCTCACCGTGCCCATATTCTTCTCGCTTATCTTCCCACTACCCGTCTTGAACACATCACCAACAAGGCTTCATGATGCTGAACCATTGCCAACCTGTATCATGCCTGCATGGGCCATATCCTAGCACTGCTGGAGGAAGCTGGCTTAGACGGTATCATCATGAAAAGTGGGGATGGTACACTGTGTGTTATGATGATATAGATATGACTTTATGGGTAAGAACACTCACCTGGTATTCTAGCCAGTCATCTTTATCCCCCGAAAGGGAAGAAATCCCCCCATTAAGATTATGTCGGCCTCGAGCAAAAGCAGGGATTATATGACAGGCTCTCAAAACTGCTCCTGGATCCATGAAGCCAAAAGTGGTTGTGTTTGTCAATGGCAGGAAGTGAACTCATTCCAAAGCATGTGTTTCCCATGAATGGTGTTGTATCAGTTCATACCACTGAACAAAAAGAAAATATATTTGGCAGGACTCATATACATTATCTGAGTGCACAGCATTGATATGGTGGATACCGAGCACTCTCGCATAACAATATTTGACATTGGATTCATCACCATGCTGGAGCAGCATGATGTTGCAATGGGGTGTCTGAGGATTTATCACATCTTGAGTCCTTCGAATGTTGTACGTCATATAGTTAAGCCTGACAAGGTTGTGGTGGTAGATTCTGTTGAGCTTGAAGAAATGTTGTCCCTGGTCGGGATGGGCAGAGTTCTCCACCGAAGATCCAAGAGTCCCTATGCGGCCCAGGATATGATCCATCAAATGTGGTACGAAGTCCTACATCATAATATTAGAACAACAATTGAGCACCCCAAAAACCTTACCTTTATGGCAGGATCCCCTGCATGACTGCGTAGATAATGTCCCAAATCATCGAAAATTTTCTCACTTCATCCAATATGATGGTGTAATTGGGGGTCGATTGCAGGTTCATCAGCTTGCATATGAGGGGCCGGTATTGCCTGCCGGTGTTTGATATGACGTAAACAATTTTGACGGTGCTCGATTTGAGTTAGCTGGCAAATGAAATTTCTGTGATCGGTTCGATGGTATCTGCCTTTCAAAGTTCAGTGCTCTAACTCTCCCTTATAGTAATTGAGGTAGGGAGCAGACAGGGAGTAAAAATAACTTACTGGTTCTGTACTATACAAGTCTGTTGTGCCAAAGCGACAAATGGAAGTGACATAATCACCTAACACATGGAATTTGTACATCTTTAGATTAAGCGACTTCTTCATCCTTGATGGCCTTGGTAAACATGGATCCTGCAACTGCTCAAAATTTGCCTTCTGTTTCCCTTTGGCATTATCCCCTACCCTCTTTTGAGCCACTATTCTTTGCCCAACACTGTTTGGCATGCTGCCCTCTGTGTGTCTGATAGCATCCTTTGTCTGCCGACGAGACCTCGCATCGACCTCATGGTCAAGCTCTTGTGTGTGGTATGCAGTGCATACCTTCATTTTGAAGTGATGGAATTTTTCACCAAGGTGGGTGGTTTGCTTGTTGAGAATCTCTAAGGTGAGGTCAGAATGCATGCACAGTTTGGTGAGGCCATGCCAATATGCCATAATGAAAAGAAGATTGAGCAGAATTATGTTGTGAGCATCAGGGAGGAGGCCTTTGAAGACAGGAATAGAACACTTGTACAAAGTTAGTCCATGAACATAAATGAGAATGGTCCCTGAGGTGTACCTGTAAAAGATCCTCAAAGTTGTGTGCCGCCATGTTTGACATTTCGGAGGTGTTAGCGGAGAACCGCCTAATAGTTGCAGGACCAAATGGAGGGACCTGCCTGTACCTGTCAGAGATGGAAATGAGTACCCCAGATGTCATGAAAAAACAAATTCAGCACCTCTTGTCAAGCTCATGTACTAAGTCCTTGTTTAATGCAGTCAGAATTCTCAGTAACTGAATCAGAAGCATGTGCCATATCCCCAGCTCAAACTTGTAAAGGAGATCGATGACAAGTGCTGCAAATACGTTGAATCCTAATGCACTAAGTTTGTTAGATAGTGCATTCTTATTAAGTATTAGTTCAGGTGACAAATGAGACTAACGATTAAGCTCACTCAATTCGGCACCCAGGAATCAGGTTTGAGAAGCACCTCAATGGCCGTACTGTCAACACTATAATTTTCCTCATAGATAAGTTTGTGTGCAGTAGCAACAGGCTGATCCCTCGAGACATTGGATTGTGCCAGGGTTGAACATTATTGCCAATCATGGCTCATCCCCAAATTTTGAAGCCGTCCAGTTGGTATGAGACAGCGTGGGCAAGGACAGCCTCCCAGCTGCTAAATGGTTGCAACAAGGACCCTAGATTAGTTAGTTTAGATGGCTTACAGATAATGATCATGACTCACTTTCAGTATTGCTACAGGAAATTCATCAGCCGGATGACGAATTGGAGGCTCATATGGACGTTGATGCAGACTTTGTCCTGGTGAGCATGCCTTCCTATATTCCACTGCTTTTGGTTGACCGATATGTTAATTTTTAGCGCGAAAGCATAGTTATTGCGCAGGAGGCTGGCAAACTTGAGTGGTGTATGGACATTGACGCAGACATTGTCGCGGTGAGCACGTCTTACTATGTTCCACTTCTGTTCATTGATGAATATTGTAAATCTTAGCATGAAAGCATGGTTATTGCGGAGACGGCTGATGAATTGGAGTGGTCTATGGATGTTGATGTGGACATTGTCATGTGAGTTCTCCTCGAGAGTCTGAACCTTCCTTCCACTCAGACTCGGTCACCCACCAGGCATCCTTGGCGGGCGTGCCAGGTTTACAAACCATTTGTAGGCATTGTCCATTCATGCTAACTTCATGTCACTGACTCGGAACTACCTGTAGCTGACAGTTTCAGCATGGACCGACGTCAGGGTCAGTCGCAGTTGTACCGGCAGCAGGAGGCTCAGAATTATGAGGATTGGGTGGCCTTATCCAATTCGTTGCGTATCTGGTTGCCTTACAACGTACCTGGCAGTCGTAGTACTTTCCTTGGCACACAGCACCTAGATCCAAACAAATTTTATGCCAATTGTTACTCTCCTCAAGAGCCTGGACCTTTCCAACCCTACTCGGACTTGGTCACTCACCAGGCGCCCTCAGGTATGTCATGTACACAGACCGTTGGTGGGCGTTACCTATTCATACTAACTTTCTGTCGCTGACTCAGAACCACGTGTAGCTAATAATTTCAGCGTGGACCGATCTCAGAGTCAGCAGTTGCAGCGACAGTGGGATGCTCAGAGTCATGATGATGATCGCCGGGAGGCCCTACTTGGCAGATCGCAGAGTACCTCAGGCTGGTCGCCATACAATATATCTGCCAGTGGCAGTCATACTTCCCCTGGCACACAGCACCTAGCACTCGCTGATCCCACCAGTTTTGGTGCCGATTCACATACTTCAAGTTCCTCTCGAGAGCCTGGGCCTTCAAAATCCCACTCCGACTCGGTCACCCACCAGGCGCCCTCAGGCACGCCAGGTAGGCATCGTCCATTCACGCTAAATTATGCCGCTGACTTAGAACCACCTGCAGCTGATAGAGTCAGTGGTGTCGAAATCGACACAAGACTCCTAACAGTACCTCGACTCAACATCAGCTTGCCATTACATCGGTTTAATCCATATCGTAGACCCGGTGCCGTCCAAGCTAGTCGTGATCCAATACTTTTGGACTCCAACTTGGAAATGGTTGGTCCGAGTCATAGTGTAACAGTAACACCTCCGCCCCTGCCATTGCGGCGGGGCCTCTATTCCCTACCGATGCTATTACTACGATCCCGCGAGCATTTCACGTGTTTTATATTCAACGATCGTGACGGCTTCCTCATGGATGCAGACACCTTGAAAGGTCATGCACGTCGCAGCTTAGACGCAACGTTCGGACAAAATAATCGCAAGTGTCTCAAATTACTCGATCTCAATGGCTAACAATTGAAAAAAGTCGATCTTATCGAGTGGGCCAGCGGCGAGCCCAGAGTCCTCGAGGTATGCAAGATAATCCAAACCCAAAAATTCATCAAGGATGAAATTAGAGATTGTTTGGCAATGTGCTGCGAATCCCTATACGGCATCTGGGATGCCCTTGGCGAGATGTCTGAACAAGACTTTATAGCCTTTATCGCAGACCTTCTTACAGGGGAGAAGTTTCTTAACGGGCCTATTGAGGTAAGCCACTGCTCCCCAGCCCGGGCTTGAAGTTCGTTCTAAATCTTGTGGTGCTTGCTTCAGGTCGAAGGGGTAATGCGTAACATTCCCTTTGGACATGTTGGTATGCGTACCTCTGTGAGACACTTGCTATATTCTGGACTCCGTTACGAGCAGTACATCAGCCCTAGTTTGAACCTCAAGCCACTCCTCACATTTGTCAGTCTGGCGATTGCTTGGGTGTTGTCCCAACACAAAAGTGGAACTTTTGTTAAAATTGGTTTTGTTAGTAGCAGTCCTGATAGGGTCGAGCTTCACAAAAGGCTACGGAAAATTTTTCAAAAATTGACACCAGCCGAGTTGAGGGCTTTAACCATACATATCTTCACACAAAGGGGTGTACCGCCAAATATTTAGTTACATCAAAAATGTAGTAGTTCAAAGCAATGAAACGGATCTGATTTCCACATGTGGGAGCCTCGTGTCCGTACGTGACCAGTGCTCTCTTAGTAATGATGACTCACTCGGTGAACAACCACCGGCCGCGATGATCGACTGCGGAGTTAGTACGCACACCATTGCACCCAAACTTGAAGCTGTCACGGTCTTCCTAATTGCCAACATACATACAAGCTGAGTGTACTACAAGTCTCAAATTCGTTCAGACAGGCGTGAAGTTATGTGATTCTGCGTATCTGCTTTCTTCTAAAAACTCCAAGTACCTCAGGGAAGTCGGATATGGTTGTACTACTACTAGTACTACTTGAACGGCAAGAAGTAGTATGTGTCACTCCGTCACTTGGTCCACAGCTGCTAGTTCTGTTCATGCTTGCGGCATTTCAGATACTACGCCCTTCACATAGTCAACACTATTCGCGTTGGCGTGGGCCTCCTCGGCGTGCTCGCCCAATTCCATTTTTGCATCTTGCGCAAGGTAGTCTGTCAGACTCAGATAAGGAATGCGTTGGCCAATGAGGTATGTTCCTGCCCTCCGTAATGTTCATGGGGCCTAGTATTGATATAGGGCTTTAGTCACGCTTTATAAACCTCGTATCGACACCTGAAATCACGCATACAATGGCAGTCGTCGAACTCGGTTTCGTTACATCCCCTGCCAGGTGCATCCCGGACCCCTTTACCTCTCCTCACCACTCCTCCGAGATCAGACTCACATGAAGGTGCTATATGCTGGCAACCTGTGGTATGATAAGTGAGACATTGTTGATGCAGCTTGCGGTTTTTCAAGTGCGTTTATGACACAAGCTTAGAGATGTCATGACTTGTGCTGATGAACTATCCAGGTGATTATTATCGGTGCCACCAAGTCAAAGACGCGATTATCACTGGCATGACCATGCGCTGAGAAGACCATTCAACAAGGAATTCGACTGTACTCAAGCATCTCCGATGCCCTGGAGGCTCGTGAACGAATATTGATGACATTAAAATCAAGAATCGGCAGTGGCTCGGAGGGCTGGACTGGAGACGGGGAAAGTGCCGAGAATTGGATATTAAGAGATTTGATTTGGAGCGTTATTTTGATGGTGGGGTTGATTTTTGGGTGCATGATAAGTTTGTATGCACTGGTTATTTAATTCTGAGTCATCTACCAGTACTACTGCTACTACAGGCCAATATCGAAAGTCATGCGCGCACTCGGCAAGGTGTAGTGAATCAATACAGAACCTGTTGAAGTTGTTCTCGGAATGCCACGGGGTGACCGTTACTATTCTCCGCTGCCAGTGAAGACTCGAAACGTGACCCGGGCTAACTCTTGGTCTAACTTACTTTCCGACGTCGGATGACCTTGAGTTTTTGATCCTGTGACAATGTCCGAGTCACTTTCCGAGGAGCGAGTCGCATGCAAAAACCCTGAAGTCCGCTGACTGAGCCTGCCCAGGGTCCCTTCAGTTAGTAAGGTGGTCCGGGGGCCTGACTCGAGCCGTGAGAGTGGATTTTGCGTACGTATCACATCAGACTACCCTAGTGACTAGTGACTACTTTTACTACTACAAGTGACTCTTAGTTTGAGTCTGAGTCAGACTGGAATTCCAGCCTGCCGCTGTTACGACTCTGGCTGGCAAGTCGAATGCGCGAAAAGCTTCTTTGCGTTGTGTTCTTTTTTCTCTTCATTAATTTGATGCTACAGTGGCTCAAAAAAGTGTCCCAATGTTTGTAGCTTTTCATGTAATTGCTATATCATGTGTCGAGACGTGGGAATATGACTAAGCTATAGGGAGATGTCGGAAAGGTCTGCATCTCAGCTTCATTTCGGTTCCCTATACCGTGGGAAACTAATGACATTATGTGAAGATATGAGTATTTTAATTTGATGACTCATTGGGACACTTTTTTGACTTTGAGTTTTACTAATGTAATCTCTATAATTCTAGTACTGTGTGTGACCTCCTTCTGCTCCAATCACTTCTGCCACTCTTCTAAACATATTCTCTATCAATTTTGGGTATTCCTCTTTGGTGATTCCATCATACTCTGCTGTAACACTGTCTCATAGTTGGAATAGCCCCTACAGTGAATCTTGATATGCTACAAGTAATTTCTTGAGTGATTCTCAGGGGTATTCAATATGTTTGATGTCTTGGGTCTATGTTGAACATGATAGAATAGTAATATTATGGTCTTTAAGTTATTTGGTAGCCAATCTAGAAGGTTGCTCTATAAGACTTAAGATCTCTTAATCACTATATTCTAATTGGAAAGACTGCTGATGCTAATAAAGTGATTAAATTGATTATTTCCATCATTCCTATGACTATCTCTACTCAAATAGTCAGACAGACTCTCAAGACAGCCCATCTTAAAGCTATAATCAAGAAAAACAGATTCCTCTGTCTCCAACCTATAAAAATAAAAGACAAGATGCTACTTTCAAGTACAAATATCGGACTGCTAATAGCTGAAAGAGGTTTATCTAGTTAGATAAGATTAAAATCAATAGGATGAAATCATATGGCAAGGAATTTATATTAAAATAGATAAGACAATCATTAAGATAAAGAAAAGTTAAATAAACACCTTAAGTTTCAAGACAAAACTTGATGGTATAGGACTATATGAGATAAAATGGAGTGGGAATCTTCTATGAAGCAAAGGGGAGGATGAATACAGAGTAGTAAATACTCATTTGACAGGAGTGTCTGCTAAGAAGCATGCAGAAGTTATGAGTTAATGAAGAAGATACTGTTTTGTGATAAGACAATGACCCCAAGTATACCTCTAAATAAGCCACCAATAGCTTGAAAACCATGATATTACTATTCTATCATGTTCAACATAGACCCAAGACATCAAACATATTGAATACCCCTGAGAATCACTCAAGAAATTGCTTGTAGCATATCAAGATTCACTGTAGGGGCTATTCCAACTATGAGACAGTGTTACAGCAGAGTATGATGGAATCACCAAAGAGAAATACCCAAAATTGATAGAGAATATGTTTAGAAGAGTGGCAGAAGTGATTGGAGCAGAAGGAGGTCACACACAGTACTAGAATTATAGAGATTACATTAGTAAAACTCAAAGTCAAAAAAGTGTCCCAATGAGTCATCAAATTAAAATACTCATATCTTCACATAATGTCATTAGTTTCCCACGGTATAGGGAACCGAAATGAAGCTGAGATGCAGACCTTTCCGACATCTCCCTATAGCTTAGTCATATTCCCATGTCTCGACACATGATATAGCAATTACATGAAAAGCTACAAACATTGGGACACTTTTTTGAGCCACTGTATTTTGCAATGCTCCAGGCTGCCTCTGGCAGAGTGCAAACGGCAGCAACAGTCAAGGTCTAAGTAGGCATTGTGCAACATGCAAATTCCACCTCTGTTCTAGTGTCCTAGCTAGCCAGAAGAGACAAGAGAGGGCAAAGGAGGCAGCCAAAGCTCCCGGGAGTCTAAAACGATTAGCGATGACACCACTGGGCTCACTGGCAACCAGTTCACGTTCACGTTCAAGTTCTGAGTCGGTAAGTATTCCTCAGACTTGGAGAGTCATCCATGAAATTCTGACAGTTTAACAATTACTGCATCTTCCTAGAAAATATTGCCTGCTTATCGTATGCCACTGGTCACCTGCTCAAAACCCATTGCTCCATGCCCGTCGTTATGGCCAGACGCTAGCAGGCACCAAACTCTGGCTAGCAAAGTACCTATCAGTCACGGTACCGGTGCAGGGCAACACTCCAGTACTGATGATGATAGGCTCGAATTGAACGCATTAGAGGCTGACTCTGTTTTGGGTGTGTCCAGTTTGAGTCACCTACTGAGATGCTGAACCAATAACTCACGTTCTGCGTTTCCCTCATTAGAAGAACCTCCGTGCCCTCAGAGACGAATCCCAAGAGATTTTGAAGATATTCCTCTTCCTGATGGGGACATTGATAGCTCGCATAACGTCAATGCTTTGCCTATTCGAAATCCAGCCCTGCCTCAATCTAGAATCCAGAGAGTCCTATTAACATTACGTGACACACTCCAGACCCCCTTTAATTCTCTTGGTATTTGCCGACTGTACCCCCATCGCCCATCGTTCGAGCCAGATAAATTCATCTCATCCTCACTGCTCTCAACCACGTGTCCAACGGCCACACAAGAGGCCAACTCAGGCATCCTCCCACCTCCATACCCTTTTCACAACATGACGATCTACCGACTCATGTCTTGGATGAACTCTGGGAGTAATAAGAAATCCGAGCTCGAAGTCGCCCGTCTCGTCAAAGAAGTGCTGCTGGCGAAGGACTTTGACCAAATGCACCTGGAGAACTTTTCAGTAAGGGGAACATTACGGAAATTGGACAAAGATCACAGCAGGAACAAGGTCGAGTTTCCAGATGACTGGACTCATGCCACTGTCGCCATCAAAATTCCTACTAAATTGAAGGAGGACGATGGAAGACTTTTTTCCGTTCCAGGGTTTCATTTCCGCCCCCTCGTCGACGTAATTTGGTCCGCTTTTGTTGATATTCAAGCGAGTGCATTTCACCTTTCACCTTTTAAGCGTCTGTGGAAGGATCCGTTAGACGGTCACGAAGAGCGAATCTTCGACGAGTTGTATACATCCGACTCCTGGCTGGATGCGCAAGATGAATTGCAAAAGCTCCCAAGAGAGCCCGGATGTGCACTGGAACGGGTGATTGCCGGTCTCATGTTTTTTTCTGACGCTACGCACTTGGCAAATTTCGGAACGGCAAAGGCCTGGCCCCTTTATATGTACTTCGGAAACCTCACGAAGTATGCTCGCTCTGCGCCAAAGTCCGGCGCATGTCACCTGGTGGGATTTCTGCCTTCGGTGAGTTTTCCTACTTTTACCTTTAAGCATCAATATTGACGGTATTGCCTATCAGCTACCTGATAAAGTTAAAGATATTTTTAGGAGCTTGCCGCGCATATCCAAGAGCGGCATGGCTGCTCTTCACACCCACTGCCGGCGCGAATTATTTCATGGATGCTGGGAGATCTTACTAGACAAAGACTTTCTTCATGCATACCGCCATGGTATTGTGTTGAGGTGTGCCGACGGAGTGTTGCGCAGGATATTTCCTCGAATATTCACATACTCGGCCGATTACCCCGAAAAGTAGGTTTTGTCCGTAAATGATGCTCAAATTACTTTTGACAAGTCAGAGTTTTAATTGCCACTATTAAGGACATGGGCTCATGCCCGTGCCCTCGTTGTCTCACACCGAAGAGCATGTTTACTTCTCTTGGTCTCCTTAGCGATATGAGGAGCCGAATATCCAGTCTTCGAGTCTATGTCGCGACTAATGTTATCAGGGCACGCGAATTTATTTATCAGGGGGGAAACACTGTGGACGGTAAGAAGGTCGAAGAGACGCTTGGCGGGGGCTCTTGGGCACCTATCTTAGTGAGTGCGAATTACCTGTCCCTCGTGCCGGCTCACATGAGTTACTCACAGAATAAATTTGTCGAGAGGCTTGGAGCGCTGGGCCTCGACACATTTCAGATGCTTGTCGTGGACTTGATGCACGAGTGCGAGTTGGGTACGTGGAAGGCATTATTCACTCACCTCATTAGGATCCTGTATGCGCTTCCGAATGGAAATCAGCTGGTCGCAAACTTGGATTCAAGGTAAGAGTTTGCAGATTGTCTCTGAGTATCTCTTAACGAGCAGCAAACTCTGTCCCATCATAGATTTCGGCAGATCCCTACTTTCGGTAATGGAGTGATTAGAATGTTTTCTAACAACACGTCCGAAATGAAGAGACTGGCAGCATGAGATTTTGAAGACATCTTGCAGGTGCCTAATGCTTTACTCGACTATTCTATACCTAGTTCACTAACAACCTTCTTTCAGTGTGCAATACCCGTGTTTGAAGGGCTGTTTCCCGCTAGCCACGACATGGTGGTGCAGTCTCTGTTGTTCAGATTCGCTCAGTGGCACGCACTTGCCAAATTAAGAATTCATTCTGAATCGACTCTTTTTTTTTTTCGAGGACACGTTCAAGAAGCTCTCGAAGCAGTTGCGAAGGTTCCGCGACTTTACCTGCGCTGTTTTCAATACTGTGGAACTGCCAAAAGAGAAGGCGGCTCGCCAACGAAGGGTCGCCCAGCATGCTGGCCCTAATAGTATCCCTTCGGAATCTAGCGGACCAAGGGTGAAAGTATTTAATTTGAGTACCTACAAGTTCCACGCAATGGGAGATTACCTGCGAACTATCAAGCTCTTTGGAACTACAGATTCATTCACCACCCAGATCGTAAGCATTATTTCCTATTCCTCGAGGATATTTCTGTTAATCTATTGACCAGGGAGAGCTGGCCCATAGAGCTATTAAAGCATTCTATCCACTCACTAGCAAAGTCGACACTCCGGCACAGCTAGCGAAGCACGAACACAGACGCCGGGTACTACGGCGAGTTGCGGAAGCAGCAAATATCTCCTCAAACCAACAATCACCGGCTGACTCTCATGCTTCATCACTGTTCCAAGACCATCATTTCATCGCGGACAATTGCAACGATCCAGTGTCTTTGTTCACATTCCTCCGGGAGCACGACGGCGACCCAGCTACCAAGGTAAAACTAGCATTCTTTTTCAGCTGGTCATCAGTTCGCTTATGACGGTTTTCAGCACTTTATCCCCAAACTTAAGGATCACCTTTTGTATAGGCTAAAGAAGTTAGATGTTACTCATTGCGACCGCACGTTCACAGATAATGAACGAAACTCCCTCATCATTCCTAACAATACAATCTACTTGATCCAGACAATGCAGATACACTATACCACCTACGATATGATGCGCGAATACGACACTATCAGCCCCAGGACCCATCCAGATGTCATGGTACTTTCGGGAGAAGCCTCACCGAGCCACCCATACTGGTATGCTCGTGTGCTGGGCATCTATCGCATCGACACGTGGATCGAAGGGGTTTGTCGAACCAAGAAACATCACCTCGAGGTTCTGTATGTTAGGTGGCTTGCGCCATTAATATCTTCAGACTACGAGTTGGGCATACAGCACGCTCGCCTTCCGAAATTGGCGTTTGTAGAGGAATCGGACCACGACACATTCGGATTTCTCAATCCAGGCCAAGTGATCCGCAGAGCTCATCTGATTCCTGCCTTCACATCAGGGCATGGTGTAAGTTCACTTCGCTACGGAAAATCATTGGCGCGTCCCAAGGAGGAATTGACTGACTGGGAGGCATATTATGTCAGGATGTGAGTGTAATGTGTCTTTTCCCGGCTTAATGTCACTTATCTGTTTGAGCTAGTTTTGTCGACCGGGATATGTTCCTGCGTTATACTTCTCTAGGTGTGGGACACCCAGTAGCTTTGCGGAAGATCGTCAGAAACTGTTTTGATCTCGAGTCAGCTACACCGGCGACGGAAGATATGGATGTTGATGGAAGCAGAAGTGATAGTGAGGATCACGGAGATGACAATGAACAACGGATGGATGATGGTCTCGGCAGAGAGGAGTCGGATGACTTTGAAGGTATTGAAATTGAGGGAGAAGAAGATGAAGGAGAAGAGGACGGGGAGGAGGGGGAGGAAGATGAAGGAGAAGAGGGCGAGGGGGAGGAAGACGAAGGGGAGGAAGACGAGAGAGAGGACTTTGATGATGAGCTTGATGATGAGCTCTCATTTTGAGATAGGAAACATTCTTCTAACCAGCCTTTCACGATGTCGCGTCGATATAATATGTTCTTTAACTCGCGCATCACACTTGATTTCGAACTCTCCGTTGCTAGTACTAGTACTTCCTTGCCTACTCAGATACTGGACTAACTTGCCAAATTTGGTAGTGTGGGAAGAATCGGATCTTGATGAATGGCACGGCAAACTCAACCGTGAGCTCGAAAGGTCACCAATATCTTTTTGCCCTACTATGTCTTGGCTGCATCTCTTATCATCTCCCAGATTCAAATTTAAGCAAGACTCCTTGAGCTGTGATTTTGCACGCTTCACACAGCTACAATCCCACTCAGACTCGATCCCCCACCAAGCGCCCTTGGAAGGCTTGCCAGGTTCGCAGACCATTGGCAGTAGGTATTGGCCGTTCACACTAGCTTTCTGTCACTGACTCAGAACCACCTGCAGCTGACAGTTTCAGTATGGACCGATGTCAGAGTCAGCAGTTGCAGCGACAGCAGCACGCTCAGAGTTGTGATAATTGGGAGGCCCAATTCAGATCATCACTGGCACGTACCTGGTTACCATGCAACATACCTGCCACACGGTCATAGTTGTTTCCCTGGCATATAGTATCCACTGGTAGCACTCGCTAATTTCAACGATTTTTATGCCAAGTCATACTTTGGGATACCTTCAATGAGATGTCTGGACAACACTTCATAGCCTTTATCACAACCTCTGATGGGGGAGAATCTTGTCAACGGGCCTATTGAGGTAAGCCACTGAGTCTCCCCAGGCTTCAAGATCGTTCTTAATCTTGTGGTGCTTGCTTCAGGTTGAAGGGGTTACCTGTAACATTCCCTTTGGACATGCTATGCATATCTCTGAAATAGTTGCTACATTCTGGGACCTGGACTATGTTATGAGCAGTACATTAGTCCCGGTTTGAACCTCGAGTTAGTCCTCACATTTGTCGGTCTGGTATTGCTCAGGTATTGTAGCACGAGGACTCTTAAAGAGTTCATGAGCTTATGACCTCGTGGCTGAGTTGAAGATTATCTGCTTGTCAAGACCAGTGACAAGCATTCTGTCGAACGGTATGTTTTTGGGAGAACCCAGCGTAAGTCATGGCATTGATGGTTCCTATGACTTGCATGTCATTGATATTTGATCCAGTATCAGGGCTGGCATTCGTGACTGTACAACTGCTTTCGTTGCCTGCTAGAATTTGAGGCGTCCGTTTATGTATCAAGACTTTAGCAATCCCGGTAATCTGCAGCATGGTCTTATGACGTCAAAGCTGTTAGTTATGGTGAGTAGTCTAAATTTTTATAAATTTTATTTGTATCTGATGGCTTCAAGTCCCCATGGGGACGCCAGCCTAGCGCGCTGAAGAGAAGAGGAATTAGCTGCTTCCTTATCGTCTCTAACCCGCGCTTCGAATATCCTTGACGTTTTTCAAACGTTCAGACACCAGAAGCTCACCACTGGCGTGCCATCCGAATATCACTTCCCCCTCCCCTTCCTCCTGACGCCCCACATGCTGGCAACAAAAGGGCAGCATCCCTGGTCCCGCGAAGCTCCCCAAACAGAAGCTCACCACTGGCATGCCATCCGAATATTACTTCCCCCTCCCCTTCCTCCTGACGCCCCACATGCTGGCAACAAAAGGGCAGCATCCCTGGTCCCGCGAAGCTCCCCAAACAGAAGCTCACCACTGGCGTGCCATCCGAATATTACTTCCCCCTCCCCTTCCTCCTGACGCCCCACATGCTGGCAACAAAAGGGTAGCATCCCTGGTCCCGTGAAGCTCCCCAAACAGAAGCTCACCACTGGCGTGCCATCCGAATATTACTTCCCCCTCCCCTTCCTCCTGACGCCCCACATGCTGGCAACAAAAGGGTAGCATCCCTGGTCCTGCGAAGCTCCCCAAACAGAAGCTCACCACTGGCGTGCCATCCGAATATTACTTCCCCCTCCCCTTCCTCCTGATGCCCCACATGCTGGCAACAAAAGGGCAGCATCCCTGGTCCCGTGAAGCTCCCAAAACCATTTCTTGCCTGCGATGCTGCCGAGATGGTCAAGACGGGACAGATCGCAGCCGTACTGGGCATCGTCAAGCAATGCCTGATACCCTCCAAGCTTTGAACTTCTGCAGGGTGTCGTGCAGCATGTGCCTCCATGAGTTTTTTTTATTCTTGCTATGGTGAAACGAGCAACCGCTGGTTAGGGCGCAGCTGAAATACTAAAGTCGTGAAGTTACTCACGAGGATGCGGACACGGAGAAAACGGTAAATATCGATATATCTCTTCACGATGTCCGCAAGGGTATTGCCAATTACGAATCTGAGTTTGCCACGGTCGTCTATCACAACCTACCAGACCAACAAATATACTTAATCAAACGATGGACGTCGACATGCATTCAGAAAATGTTCCTATGGATATCGTTCAAGCTGGGCATGATCCGAGCGCGGTGAGTCCGTTTACAAATTTTGCTGTGCTTCTCATTAGTTCAAAACTGCAGGGAGACATGCTTAAAGTCGAAGACGGACATCCGATGGACATCGACGAAGTCCGGGGAAGCGATGATGTGAGTCTCGTTGGTTTATCGTGTACGCACTTTCAATTCGTTTGATTTTTGTCATTGCAGGGAGATGTATACATGCATGACGTTGAAGATGGACATTCAATGGACATTGACGAAGTCTGGGGAGGCGATGATACGGTGAGTCTCATTAGTCGTGTACGCACTTTCAATTCGTCTGATTTTTGTCATTGCAGGAAGACATATATATGCCAGATGATTTTACGGATGTCGATGACGGAGAACAAATGGTACGTTCGTACATCTTGTTGTCTGTTTGCTTGTTCTAATTTTCACCCTAGGAAGGTATAGAAATTGGAGACGCGGACGAAGAAACTCTCATGGACATTGATCACGCATAGTTCTCTTAATCATTATGTTGCAAAACGATGTCATTTTGCCGAATACCGAATACACATAAGTCTCTTGCTCATTAGGTACCGTCCCGCTGCGTGTTGAATGCACTCCCACCCCCACGCTACCTAAATTGTCCCCGAAAATATCATCCCGCTCCCTTCCAGATCGACATACTGCACGAATCTGCAAGTTGACCCGTTTTGAAGATCATACACTTGTCAAGCAGTCAAAGCCCTTGACCGATCGCAGTAAGGCTTTTCATCTGCTTTTGTTCGTTCGTGTTTCGTTGACGTCAACTGATTGAGCAGTCTGGTAAAACATCCAACACAAGATGGTTGAATTCATGGGCCAAATGCGCGAAGCACTTCCTGTAAGTCTGAGCTCGACGAAGCTTGCACTTATCAAGTCATCGCCACATCACAGGCAGCCCCAGTGGACCGACCCTCACTCTATGCAAGATCTCACACCATCATTAGCAGAAAATGGGACACCTCAACCAGAGGGAGAAGAAGCTGTTTCCGAGAATCTTTATATTCAAAACCTCAACGAGAAGGTGAAAAAAAATCGACGGTGAGCATCAAAACATACCACAACTTGGCTGTGACTGATTTCTCTTCTTTCCATAGTGCTCAAGGCTTCACTAAAAGGCTTGTTCAAATCGTATGGGGAAGTGCTGGATGTTGAGTTGAAAGAACGCGAAATTCGCAAATACCGCAAGCTGGAGTCACAACATCTACGATTACGTCGGACAAAGATTCGTCTCACAGACTTTCGCACAATCAAAGTCATTGGGAAGGGTGCGTTTGGTGAGGTATGCCAGGCTGTTTACTGAAGTTCTCCCTGAGCTCACCACTTGATTAACACGTAGGTAAGATTGGTTCAGAAAGTAGACACTGGGAAAGTCTATGCCATGAAGACCCTCCAAAAGGCCGAGATGTTGAAGCGAGATCAGGTCTGTATGCACAAGCCATACTTCTTGCTTTGTGCTGATGAAATGGTCCTATAGCTTGCTCATATTCGCGCGGAGCGTGACTTGCTGGCTGAATCAACATCACCCTGGGTTGTTCAACTCTTTTATTCCTTCCAGGATCCACTATACTTATATCTCATCATGGAGTTTCTTCCTGGAGGCGACTTAATGACCATGCTCACAAAATACGATGTTTTCTCTGAAGATGTGACGCAGTTCTACATGGCGGAGTGCATTCTTGCTATTGAGGCTGTTCATGACCTCGGCTACATTCATCGGTGCGTAATAACCTGCCATGTTCACGATAAGCATATGAATTTTCGTTCTAGGGACGACATCAATTCCGTCTATCAGTTAGATCTCCTTCACCGGCTGCATCATCAGCATCTCCCAGTCCATCACGCCTGTCAATGTTTCAATGCTCCTCCCGTGCCACTTCCAACTTGAAGGCGAGCAATCCTTATGACCACAGTCGCTCTTCCAGCCTTCACACGTCACACCTTGTAACTGAAGCTCGATCGGAGGGGGCGTACCCTGGATTTCCCCTTCCGCCACCGATGAGCCAATCGTTTCCGCCGGCTAGTGGCGCGGATGCTCGTGGAACACCTTCAGCAACACCTGCTCCGATTGGTCACCCAGGCATGTATGCTGTACGTTTCATAAATCTCAACATCTCAACCTCTCATGCTGCAACGCTGACGTGTTGTTCAAGCCATTCATCCCATATCCGTATCCTGCGAGAACACCCGTGCAAGAACAAGGCCAGGGATAGACCCCTGAACCTACGGGGTACGTATTATCTTGTTCGGACGTCTAGCCTTTCTGTATTTGAGTGCTAACATTACATCTACTTACTTCTACGTGTAGGTGCCATTGTCGCGAGCCCGACATTCAGCTTGCCCGAATACATTAGTGGGACTAGAAATTGTCACCCTTGTCCTTCTTCACGTACTTCGACTTCCTCACCAACATACAATATATAGGGACTACTAGTAGTATGCATACATTCATAATTCGCTGATTTTTGTCGTACCACTCATGCAGGGTCTCCTGGATTCGTGACTCCTCGTTCACGGCTGTTCACGCTATATGCTCTGATTAGACGCGGGTTCACTACAATCCAAAATCTTTAGAAGTTTAATATAAATGAGTTCTCCCATAATGTGTGAAGGTCGGCTGCCACACCTTCATTGAGAACTGTTCTGAATTTGTTGATCAGTGTGAAAGACACTTTGGTGTCGAAACCCTTACATTGGGCTCCAGTGCGGTAGCAATATTACGCAAATTACATAGCTATCCCTTGTCAGGTAATGCGAAATGCAGATGACGGAAAACGCAGATGCCTAACAAACTAGACACAATTACCCACCATTCACTTTTAGGTTGTGATTGTACAATGTCACAATATTGCCGCAGACTCTGATGTTAATATATGTTTGATGTCCATGGCTAGTGCTACTTTCCATCATAAAGTCATAAATAGGTTTATTATCAAAAAATTAAATTACAGCGGATGAGCATGATTGACAACTTGGACGCAATTATGCTATCATCCCTTGCTGGCGGTGAGGTCGCAATGCCGCAATGTTGCCACCAATTCCTCATTGCAGTGTAGATTTACATTCATCCATACATTTGTATTAGCAAGTCAAATTTATTGGCGCATAAATAGCTATATTTGGCAGAAACAGAATTATATATTTCTACAGTCATCATGGCTACAATATCGTGAACTCATGAATTCACTGATGGTAATGCACCCACCCTATTGTCATACCCGTTGTCCTCGACAGTATGCACATCTGCAGTGCATACATGCGTCCGACTCTTATCTTCGCAGCTTCCAGAATCTGTCTCATCCCATCAAGTCGAGCAGTCCGTGCTTTCCAGCGCTCAAATCTGACTGTCTATCCTGCATGAATACCGTCGTTTTTCGTATCTAGCAACTACTCCAGCTTATCACCACGTTACTCCTTCGAACACATGTATATAGCTTACTGCAATATCACTTCTCCATCCAACAGACTCCCGAGATCTTTGTATGCACAAGATGCAACCAAGTTTCGTGGTACAGCCTCGGAACATCTTCACCATCGTCACACTGCCAACGGCCGCACCTCACTATGAAGCCCCTCCATCTTCTTCAACACAATACCTGTCTTCAAGTCCCACAACCGAATCGTCTTGTACTACGAGCCTGTCACCATATGTCGTCTATCGGGAAAACCTGCGCCTGCGGTTACGCCGCTCTCATAATTTTCAGGAACTCAAAGGACTGCGGTGGAGTCGACATCTTACTGGATGCTGATGATGTGGAGCATGGCCAAGCCAGACTTTTGAAGGATTGTGGGTGTCGAAATTTAGGCTGCAGATGCATGTATTGTGCTGCCTCACCCTGTTGACTTGCCTCACGTTTCCGTAGACACTCTGAACCCCATTTACTACCTCCACCACTCAGATGAATACGATCCCATCATCTGGAAATCACAATGGATACCATCAACTTGGAAGTAGGTTGGTGATATCATCTACATCATCGCCATAGATGTATCCTGCTTGCACCTGGTCACTTCCGCATCTCATAACGTCTCACGAGGCGGCTCTCAGATCGGCGAACGTCGCCATCTTCCCAATTAAAGCCACCTTCATTAGTTAGAAGGAATTGGCAGGTAGAATTCAAGGGCATTGATTTCAAGCACGCAACGGCCGATTGCGATAAGTTGGAGAGTGAATCTTAATCAGCGCTCAGCCCTCGTGTGGTGCCGGAGACTACATACTAAATTAAACGTTGCACAATGGCCGCGTTCAAGTTGTCAGCATTGTCATCCCTTCATAGCAGGTTCATAGTGATCAGGACTCTCGTATCTATATTGGCGGAATTGCGAAGACGTCGAGAGGCTAATATTAGTGTTATTTTCTGTCCGAAAGTTGCAGACATGCATGCATCATGGGTCCTAGCAGATTTGAGCGGAGTTTGATTCTCGTACTATGTAGTATGTACATATGTACTGACTTTCCGTAAGCACACATCTATAGTCACAAAGTCTACACCTACAGTTTTGCCCACAACTGACCCCGAGGCCCGAGTAGTTTTACCAGCTGCTGGCTCTTCTAACCCGCTTCGAGGACTGGCAGGTCAACCAAGGATCCTAAGGCGCGCGGGTGAGTCATGTGGTTGGATCCTGGTTGCACAGTGACCTGCTCATACTCACCGCATATTTAGTGTCACAAACCAATTTCCCGCAACAATCAATATCAGTGTCGCAAGGTTCGCCATCTTTCGCACATGCAGCGCTAACAAACATAGATGCTGTCAAAACAACAACAACGGCGAGGAAGGAGAAATGCATTTTCTGTGCGAGGTGATATGGAATCTTCTGAGGGTGATCTCGAATGATATCTCTGAGGACGGGGGAACACTATGAGATGACGGCCAGCTTTTATATTCTGCGTATACTTATGGGTATGATTCTGATCGATTGTTATTGCTATGTAGGCTGTCGGCGGCAGAACCTACATGCGCACGCAATGCAGGAGTGTGTTCGATTGATGATAGATATCATGGCCCAATCTCTCACTCATCGCTTCATCATTTGAACCTGCAGTGACCCCGCGGAACAACGAAGTTTAATACTCATTCTCGTGAATATCATCGATACCGATATGTATCATATATCGAGTATCAATGAGATTCGTGAGACTGCAGTGTACTTGCTGACTCGCCATACCCCATGCAGAGATAATGAGGTATCCTTCGAAAACTGATTCCCATTCTCATTCTTGGTATGCGCTCAGTTAAAGATTCCTAGTCATGCATTATTGTTATTATCTAACATATACAAGGACGGAACATTTGATCTCGCGGAAGAAATTTGCATTTGCTCCATGTGCCCCACCCGAGCTCCGCATGCACTCCAAGCACTAATACGCTCGGCAGTTCTATTGGTCTGTGTTCTTCGCTTATCTCCGTATCTCTATCCCTTTTGCAATTATACTCCACTGTTTCCATGTCTTCTCAAGCTCCGTTTGTCTCCTAACTACGCAAATTCGCAGAGGTCCATACCGGAGAGAATCTTGCATTGTCTGCCTCGCATAACCTTCGCTTTCAATCCAGCGCGTTCAAGCTGGACCGTAAATTGAAAACGGTTGTCCCTGCAACCTGTTTATGCGATAACATTCAACGGATGTCAAGGACTAATGCTTGAGAAAGTCGTGCTTGACCTGCATATATTCGTTCGCACACGGTCAGCTATACACCGCACTTCCAGGAGTATGACGCGACATCGCTGACTCAAAGACGTTCGAACATTATTTCAAAGAGGAGAAGAGCAAAAGACAACAGCAATTTCAAATGCAATGCATCAGCCGGGTAATTATACCAGTGTTATGCATTATGAGAATGTCAACTGTATACCAGAAAATAAGATATTTGTTGCGCAATCAAGTAGCGTCTCATCGACTCCATCACACACATGTACAGAGAGAACGATCCATGAGCTAGCACCAAACGAACAGATTGAAGTTGTTGTGTATTACATAATCGAACGTGATGGAACTTTAAACTAAACTACTAAGTCATGTCCATGCATATTCCGAGTCGGTCACGATGGACCTATTGTGCTCGACGTCACTATAGCTAGTTTTTATCCAGGCAACTGAGGAATTGTCTATCCTCTTTCATTGGCGCCCTCGGCCTCGGTGATCTTGTGATATCAATGCTCGGGCCAAAAGGCATGAACAAGATTTTGCAGTTGGCATCCTCATCAGGAAACCTGGATTTTCCATGATTTGGCTGAGGTGTCTGATAGCAGGACCACCAGGCAAATCAAACAATCAGCTCATCAGATTTTGTCTGAAATCAGGTGGGTCCCATCTATTGATGTCAGAGATAATGATTTACCTTTTAGACATCATATTACCTTCTTGTTCTCTTCTTGTTCTTATCACCATCGACACCACATGCAGCAAACTCATCTTCTAGACTTCTTGCTTCTTGACCATACGATCTTTCTGCTACTCCCTTCACCGGTTCATTACCTAAGCTCATTCTGTCTTTCGTATATAGATTGTGCTGGCTCGTAGTAACACCTCAGTATTGTTCACACATACTGAGGTGTGTATTTGTCTTCCCACTCGTATCCCACTCGTACTCATGTACCCTAGTGTTCCTCCTGCTAGGTAGATACTAATCTAGTATTGTTTCACACATACTGAGCGTTCCTCCCGCTAGTGCCTACAGGTTATGAGCCCTGAGCTAACGAACTAGCTCAGACACCACG